GCTACATGTTAGACGTGACAATAAATCGTGTGTGAAGCTTATTTTAATTCTATTATATTTTGCCACTTTATCAGAAAGTGAGTGACATAATAGGTGTTAGCAAGATGCACTGATTAGATGAAAAAATTATCCGTGTTTAAAATGGTCCAATGATAAAGTGTCATGGTGCATTATATCTGATGCTACCAAAATTCGTACCTGGATGAATTCAAACTTGACGAGAGAACTCCACACAGTCTGGTCTACAATACCTGAAACAAAGGCGGCGAGGTGTGTACTCGTTGCCCCTCCGATGGTTAAGTCAGTTAAACTTCTTGAGAGAAATTTTGTGTTGAATGACTGAATAAAAAAAGACGTACCTTCGTGGCGAAGTTAGGTTGCATATTTATAGATGCTAGTGGAGGAGTCCTAGTAGGATTAAACTTCCTGTAGTTTGAACTGCTTTAGGTATTTGAGTTGCGTTAGGATTGTAGAGTTGCAGATAGGGTGGAAGTTGTAATGAAATAGGAGTTTCGGAGGGTTAGGGATTGTGCAAGTGCCGTGCCTCGAGCCTCGAGCTCGTGNTAGGAGTAAACTTCCTGTAGTTTGATCTGCGTTCGGTAGTTGAGTTGCGTTAGGAGTGTAGAGTTGCAGATAGGGTGGAAGTTGTAATGAATTAGGAGTTTCGGAGGGTTAGGGATTGTGCAAGTGACGTGCCTCGAGCCTCGAGCTCGAGCTTGACCACTTTACCTTTTGGCCCAGTCGTGGGGCCTAGGGTCTGGCCCATTGATCGAGGTCGGGCCCAATTATACATCATCAGGGGCCCCCGTACATCGAGGTCGCAGCAGAAATATGAACCTGTACTGTGGGCCCAGATGCATCGAGGTATTACTGAATTGGGCCACACCTAATGGGCCTTGGTGCGTGACAGCTGCGCTGACACGTGTGTGCCACGTGTAAGGTAGTTGGCTTCAATCTTGGATGGGCGACACTTGGCAGATCCACTGGCCAAGATCAGACGACTTTTGACATTCCTTTTGACCTCTATAAATAGTGCCCCTTTTTCACATTTCACTTTCATCGTTTTCACTTTTCACTCTCAATCTCCAACAGCTCAAGATCGGGGACGTAGTGGGTTTGGTGAGTGTCGACTTTGAGAGGTAAGCGTTTGAGCTTTTAAGTTATTTATTTACGATGTCGAGTAGTAGCAGCGAGGGGTCGAGTGGTAGTAGTAGTAG